GAATCGGTTTTAGATTATTGTGACAAAAAAATAAGTATAAAAGAACTTTGCAATTTATTACATAAAAACGCATTTCTAAAAAATGTAGGTCTTTTTACCTCATTTTTTTTTAATTGATTAGTGACCAAAGACTGGAAAAAACAGATAAAATAGATAAAATCCAATAAAAACTTCCTAATTTATTTTAATAAAAACATTATTCCTAATTATCTTATTCTCTTCTCTTAATTAATTTTCAAAATTCTCAATTGGTTTTCAAAATTTAGCAAAAAAGTAGATTTTTGTGACCAAAAACTCAAAAAGTCACGTTTCTTTCCAAAATTCAACAAAAAAATAAGATGTTTGGCTAAAAACCCCAAAAATCATTTCTTAATAAAGAAGAAGAAAAAGACAAATCATTTTTTTAATATATTAAGTTTCTTCTTTTTCTCCGAATTAATATTCAAAACTCTTAATGAGTTTTAAAAATTTAGCACAAAGCGTAGATTTTTGAGACAGAAAGCCCGAAAAATCATGTTTTTTAACAAAAAAGGCAAAAATTTATTTAAATAAAAACATTTTTTTAGAAATTTAGGCCTTCTATATCTCTTTTTCCTCTTAATTAATTTTCAAAATTTTGAATCGGTTTTAAATAAACTACAGATTATTGTTTCAAAAAATCCGAAAAAAACAATGAAGAAAGAGGGTAAAAAATTAGTATAAAAGAACTTTGCAATTTATTACATAAAAACACATTTCTAAAAAATGTAGGGCTTTTTACCTCATTTTTGATTTTGTGACCAAAGACATAAAAAAGATAAAATCCAATAAAAAGTTCCTAATTTATTTTAATAAAAACATTATTCTTAATTATCTTAGTATTCTCTTGTCTTAATTGATTTTCAAAATTCTCAATTGGTTTTCAAAATTTTGTGATCAAAATAGAAGAAAAAGCCAAAAAATCTGAGCTCAAAGATTTAAATTAAAAGCCTCCTATTTCAAGAAACCTGTCTTTTCTTCTTTTCTTTGAAAAAAAAATTTTTTAGAAGCCTCGATGAGACTTAAAGTAGATAATGCACAAGATAACAAAAGGCCTGAAAAAGAAGAAAAAGGGCAAAAAATCTAAGCACAAAGAAGAAGAGCTTTTCAAGCCGGAAGAATTAGAAGCATATCGTCGCGAACATCAAGAAACCGGCGCATCTTCAGGCCAAAACGAAGAGTGGAAGAAATTCATCCAACTCACATCTGGCGTTGATGATATTTTAAAAAAGACTCAAGGTGATTTAGACCGCATCAAAAGTACTTCGTTTTTTCAACGCGTACCACCACCAAGCCAAGTCAAAGAAAGTGAAGAAGAAGAAGAAGAAGAAAAAACCGAAGAAGCAGTTGTTGAAGAAAATCAAGTTGCAGCTCCTGAAACCAGTCTTGGGATCGTTCAAGTGTCAGAATCTGAATCGGAAGAAGAGGAAGATGATGATATTTTTGACACAGCCTACATTGATGAAGTAAAACTAGCTTATATTCCGGAATCACCAAGTGAAGAAACCACTGGTGATGACCCTTTTGACACTTCTATAGCCGAAAGAGCGATTCTAGGACCAACAGTCGTACGCAAAGGGAAGAAATTAGTACCAATTGGGGTCGCTGTTGAGGTTTTAACAGGACGAGTCCAAATACCAACGTGTGCAACACCAAGACCGAGTTCAAAACGAAGACAAGTACTTAAAGAAAAGAATTTACTTTTGGGGAGTTTTGACGATAACGCCAACTCGATTCAAATTCAAGGTAAACCAAATTTGATAGAAAATTATCTTCTAACATTTTTTTTTTATAGAGACTAGTGAAGTTCCTAAAACATTACTTGATGAAGATCCCCCGATTCCATTAACTGAACCAATCGACTTGGGGAAAAATCTACACSAAATTCCTGATGAAGATGATGAAGAATTTGCGAAACTAGCGGCTGAAAGTTTAGCGAAAAGTCCAGTTAGTGTCGTTGAGACTGTACCAAGTGACCAAGTGTTGGTACCGGAGGAGAATTGGGCCGCTTTCAGTGAAGAGTGAGTTGAAGTTGGCAATATTTAATAACCAAAATTTGAAATTTTTGTAAAAATCCCCCTAATTTTGCACTTTTATGAAAATAATACCCGCCACTGGTTGCAAAGTTCGTTACCATGACAAATCGCTTTGTTACCATGGTTATATACAAAGTACAGCACGTTTCAATAGCAACTAGATAAAAGTACGCACATGTGCGACTCGTCAAGGATAGAAAAAAAAGTTCTTCAGAAAAAAGTAGCTTATATATTACGAAAATATACATATTTAATAAGTCTAATAGGGGATAAAATAAAAAAGTTTTACAATAAAAAATTTGGAAACAAAACAAAAATAATAGAAAATAACGCGTTTTTGATACAATTTTGCATTTTAAATTTATCAAAAGCATTTCCAAATAAAATTTATATTTTGTTTTGACAAAAAAAAATCCAATTTTTGTGACATTCCTATAAATTATGCATTTCAAAATGCAATTTTCTGACTTGTTTTAGCAAAAATTTTTGAATTTTGCGATATTCCAGTAACAATAAACCCCAAAACAATGGAATATAACCAAATTTAATTTTATACTTTGCTTAGACAAAAATTTTCCAGATTTACTAAAATCATATAAAATAATGACCTATTTCATAAGCTTTATTTTGCAATTTTAATGAACAGAAAGTTATCTCAAATCTGCGATGTTTTATTAATAAATGCTAGAAAACTACAACTTTTTTCTGTATTTTTTTCAGTTCGTATCGATTTTGGTTATTTTAATCAGTTTTGAAAAAAACAAATCTTTTTTTAAACATAAAGTATAATGATATGAAAAAAATTCAGGACTTGAGGTGTTTTTTTATTTTTTTTTAATAAAAAAATTGGAAACTTAAACGAAAAATATGAAGCGCCACTGGTCTCCATTTTCGTTAAAAAAATTCCCACTTTTATAGAAAAAAGCTCCCAAATTCATTTTCGATCTAAGTTTCAAATTTTCATTTTAAATAAAATCTCTTAAAACGTAAATTTTTCGATAAGAATCGTGTTTTTCAAAAAGCCTTAATAAAAAAAGAACAAAAAGTTGAAGAACAACTCAATTTATTTAAATAAAAACACTTTTCTAGATTTTACTGATTTTAGGTCTTTTATTTCTTCTTTCTCTTAATCGATTTTCAAAATTTTAAATTGGTTTTAAAAACTTAGAAAAAAAAGTACTTACATATTGTGACGAAAAAATTCAAAAAAAACAATGAATAAGAAGAAGGGTAAAAATAGGTATAAAAAACTGCAATTTATGACATATAGCCAAAAATTCGAGACTCAAATTCATTTTCGATCTAATTCTTAAATTTTTGTTTAAAAAAAAAATTTCGTTAAAATAATATAAAACTGCAATTTTTTACCTTGTTAATTTTAATTTTTTCTGCGAAAAATGCTCTATTTTTAGACCTAATCCCGCTTTTTTCTGCTTGTAACATTATCTCGACTTTAGTGATTTAAAATCGTCCAATTTTTCGCCCAAAATGTGGCAAGTTTTCTCAAAATAAGTAAATTTTTTTGAAGAAAACCAGAAACCCCTCAAGAGGAGGACCCATTCGACACCACTTTCGCTGCGAACATTCTCCCCGGCAAAGCCGAGCTAAAAATCATAGAAAATGAGATTTTAAACTCAAGCAACGATCTCGATTTCGATCCACGAGCCTCAAACGACGACAAACTCTCTCAAATCATCAACAAAGTCAGCATTAAAATCACCGATCCTGCAGGTCAACGCGAATCAATCTCGTCACTTGACCGAGTCTCTGGTAATTACCACTAACACAAGGCGACAACTTGACAAATTTTATATCATTTTGTTCGTCTCAGTGAGACAAATCAAATGCACTAAAAAAAAAATCAAAAAGTCCACACACTTGAACTAAATAATTTTTTTTCTAATTTAAATTAATTTAAAATACTTTAACTATTAAAAAATCATTACTCAATAACTATTAGGCCGATTTCCTTCAAATAAAGACCATTCTAAAGGGAATGATATGCAATTTGAAATTGAATATTGGCAAACTTCGAAGAAAATCGAAGTAATCTAAGAAAAACCCTACCAGTATTTTTTTTTCTTTGCCACCATCATGTAGAGCATCTTTTTATTAATAAGAATCCAAATTTTTAAAATAATATACSGAGTAGTTTTTAAGATATGATTTTTTGAAGTTAAGGCTTGCTAATTAAGCATTGCTCYATAAGCAAGCTAAATCTTTCAGAACAGAATAAAATAACGTTAATTTTGATACATTTTGTTGGGTTTTTGTCTTTTTTTACAAAATCTTGCCTAAAAATGAGCAAAATTTCTCAAAACAGGTCAATTTTCGTCTATTATTTTTCGACTTTTAACCCATGTTTTGTCAAAAACCTGTCAAATGAGTGACTTTCTTGTTCATTGCAATTGAGAGAAAACAAGGTAAAAAACGCCAATTTCCTTAAAAGTTTCATATTGTGTTTTACTCCAAATATGTGGAAAAATCATTAAATTAATTAAAAAATTACATTATTTTTGCCTTTTTTGAGACTTTAAACACGTTTCTGAGGAATAAACAGTTTTTTAACGAGATTTTGCAATTTTTTATAATATATTTTGATCAAAAGCCAAAAAAATCGCCAAAGTATCTCGAAAAATCACTAAACTAACTGAAAAATAACATTACTGTTACTTTTATTGAGCCTTTTGACATGCTTTTCAATCAAAAACGCAAATTTTCAATAAATTCCCCAAAAAAACACCAAATTGGATTTTTAAAAAATGTTATTATTTTTGCCATTTTCAAATACTTTCACGTTTTTAAGCCAAAAACTTATTTTTACAAGATTTCGCTAAAACAAGCCAAACAATGACTAAATTTGATCGAGAAACTCGTGTGTTCCTCAAGATATCGTCAACATAAGCCAAAAATGATCAAAGTTTATTACAAAATTACTCTAGTTTAGATTATTTCAAGTTTATTCGCAAAAATTGTGTTAAATACTACCAAAAATGACATTATTTTTGCCTTTTTCTGGACCTGAAACACGTCATTACTCAAAAACAAGCTAAATCTTTCGATATTATATAAATTATTGTCAATTTTGATCTAATTAATTACCTAATACTTTAACTTTAAAAAATCATTACTCAATAACTATTAGGCCGATTTCCTTCAAATAAAAACTATTTTAAAGGGATGGCTTTGCCCTTTAGGATGATATAAAGTTTAAAAATGAATATTGGCAAACTTTTCTTCGAACAGTGTTCAAAGAAGTTCGAAGTAAATCGAAATAATCTARGAAAAACCCTACGAGTAATTTTTTTTCATCATTACCATCATGTAGAGCATCTCTTTATTAGTTGTAATCCAAATTTTCAAAAAAATATATAGAGTAGTTTTCAAGATATGGTTTAATCAAGCATAACATGCATTTCTCCTATATTAGAACAAAAAAGGTGCAATTGACCATTTTTAAGCAAAAGAAGAGTCTTAAAACAAATACTTTTATAAAAATGCAATTTTAAATAAGATTAACATGCATTTCTCCTATATGCTTGATTAAATCATATCTTGAAAACTACTCTATATATTTTTTTGAAAATTTGGATTACAACTAATAAAGAGATGCTCTACATGATGGTAATGATGAAAAAAAATTACTCGTAGGGTTTTTCCTAGATTATTTCGATTTACTTCGAACTTCTTCGAACACTGTTCGAAGAAAAGTTTGCCAATATTCAATTTCAAATTTTATATCATTCTAAAAGGCAAAACCATCCCTTTAAAATAATTTTTATTTGAAGGAAATCGGCCTAATAGTTATTGAGTAATGATTTTTTAAAGTTAAAGTATTAGCGATTAATTAGATCAAAATTGATAATAATTTGTATAATATCGAAAGATTTAGCTTGTTTTTGAGTAATGACGTATTTCAGGTCCAGAACAAGGCAAAAATAATGTCATTTTTGGTAGTATTTAACACAATTTTTGCGAATAAACTCGAAATAATCTAAAATAGAGTAATTTTGTAATAAACTTTGATCATTTTTGGCTTATGTTGACGATATCTTGAGGAACACACGAGTTTCTCGATCAAATTTAGTCATTTTTTGGCTTGTTTTAGCGAAATCTTGTAAAAATAAGTTTTTGGCTTAAAAAACGTGAAAGTGTTTGAAAATGGCAAAAATAATAACATTTTTTTAAAATCCAATTTGGTGTTTTTTGGGGAATTTATTGAAAATTTGCGTTTTTGATTGAAAAGCATGTCAAAAGGCTCAATAAAGGCAACAGTAATGTTATTTTTCAGTTAGTTTAGTGATTTTTCGAGATACTTTGGCGATTTTTTTGGCTTTTGAGCAAAATATATTATAAAAAATTGCAAAATCTCGTTAAAAAACTGTTTATTCCTCAGAAACGTGTTTAAAGTCTCAAAAAAGGCAAAAATAATGTTATTTTTTA